AAACCAAGGTTTAAACGCGAAGTTATATTATTCGTTACATAGAACCATGTCGTGGCGCAGTTTGGCTATACATGTAATATATTTGTGTGTTGTACCTTTGCAACAACCAACCGTCTCTGGAACACCCCATGGCTAATTCCAGGGTGACGGTTTCCGCTTGATCTACCCCATTCCACGTGACTTGGTCATATGCAAATTGCCATTCTTTCACGCCGCCGTATTTGATAGAAGTACAATACACTGTTAATTTCAATTCGTCGCGAATTCTGAAACACAATTGATAGGACATTTCCTTTGGAAAATACACAATACAGGGCAGCGCCAGAAAATACAATGAAGACAATAAAGAAAATAAAGAAAAAACAAGCAAAACAAAAACAAAAAGCAAAAAAACAAAACAAACTATTAATATTAAGAATAAATATGCAGAGACTTGGGAAGACGAGTGCGCAGTGTCGGTATATCGCACTTATAGCCAGCCACCTGACTGTTATTCAAGAAACACTAAAATCAGAAATACGGGGGACTGTAACATTGACTGATTACGACTGTAACTATAAGCAGCAAGTATTTACTAACAATGACTAAAATTAGACAAAATGGGAAGTAGAAATGTTATGCTATGACGTCACATAACTCACGGATTAAACATGGGATTATCCATCCATTCAGCGTACAATCTCGTAGCTTCATCTATACAGTCACTGTTACCATAGTTACATGCTGTGTTTATAGCATTGACACGCTGGTAACTAAGGAGTAAATCAGTGATACATCAACGGGAATGATTAGTAATAGCAGACGCATTAGTTAATTTGACGCGCCCGCGACGGCGGCCATTTATTGCGGACTGACGACTTCCCCCACTCACTACAATCACACGTTACCGGAAATGAAATCAAGAATGGCAACAATGCAATACTAATTGATTGACCTTGTGTCTTGTATTTACACGGAAGACACCTCTTGTTGTAATCGGTGCGTCGCATAAATTAAGAATGAAGTAGTCTTTCGTGGAAAAAAATGCTCCATGGTGTAGCCCTTACAACAATATATATTAACCGTAACCACTATCAGTGATGTCAACGTGGATTGCGTCACAGTGACGTAATGTAAACAACAATCAATTGTGTATATATCATCACTACGAAAAATGCAAAGATTTGACGTATTAGGAAGTTTACAATTACCGATCCTATAACGTAATCTCCCCCTGAAATATCAAACCAATACTTTATTTTCGATGTAGTAAGTACATCACTCATAAGAAAGAACTAAACAACTTACTAATCAAGTAAACTGCTATGCGTAAAATTCCATCCAAGAGAACTGTACAGCGGACTTATCTGATTTCGCCAGTATTTCTAAGTAAAAAACATTCACAGATTAAACATTACGGAAACCGAACCTTTCTTGGTAGTATTCCTCACGTGAATTGGCACTATGATGTATAATAATAACTTTATTGTCAACCTATCTCCACTGAGATCTGGACTAACATACAATAAAGATTAAAAGATACAGAAAATATAAATTTAAAATACAACAACAATAAATAAAAGTATAACCGAATAAGAATAAATAACTGTTAAAAAAAGTCTTTGACAAAGTAGTAGATGTAATAATAATAATAATAATAATAATAATAATAATAATAATAATAATAATAATAATAATAATAATAATAATAATAATAATAATAATAATAATAATAACTTTATTGCCAACCTATCTCCACTGAGATCTGGACTAACATACAATAAAGATTAAAAGATACAGAAAATATAAATTTAAAATACAACAACAATAAATATGTATATTCTAATTAAAAACAAACATTCATCAAAATAGCGACGATGACGTACCTCGAAGAGTCCATATTCTGACTTTCTTAGTAACATCCTATGAGTGAAAGGCAGATGTCCTAGCAATAACTTCCATGGGACGTATTCAAACTCTTTTGCCATGTACTCGGTTAATTGCAAACCATACACGTGATCTAAGTAGCCAGCTTTTGAGACTGTGAGGGCGTCATCAATTAGTGACGCCCTAGTCTGAGTCGGGAAGATCTAGGTACAACAAAGGATTCTTTTGTTATTTCACACTCTACAAAGTGATAGTCACGTCCTCGAGACGTGTCAGATCAATGATAAAATAGAACGGTCAACACGTAAAGAAATCTACAACTTTATATTACAGTTCTATACAGTCCCTTTATGCTGACACATACGGCAGCTGCTTCTCCGTGTAGCTACACACGAATGGCGGCACATCCATTGCATCATAGATAAATTCAATCACATTCCATAATACAACATAGCGGCATTCGCGAGTTGTAATTCAAAGACACATAACAGACAACACATCACTTTCCTCTTAGTATGATATCAGAGTACCAGTTAGGTGTACGACCATCAAGTCACCATGTACGCCATGTTTACATGCTCTTGCTTCATTAAGCTCTGACTCACATAACATAATCATATGTAGGATATGTGACTTGCCATTATCATCATCGTTCAACTAGCTTACGTACTTAATCTAGCGTATTTATTTACTTGCTTTCTGACGTACATGACATCATTGCTTTTTGCATACCCACATAGCTGACGTACCTGGTGACCATTATTTAGCTGGTGTGCCAATCTCTCCCAGTTTGCAGTATCATAATTAACACGATAATAACCATTTTGATTTATATTCAATATATACCATTCGTTATTTGAAAGCGCTTCAATGACAAGAGTCTCTGAAAATATAAATGTAAACACGTGTGACAGTGCGCATGCGTGTTCAACATAGAACGTAAAGTCAGTGCAAAGCTATTTCGCACTTTGAAAGTAACTGAAATGAAACAAACAATTCTTTAAATTACCTTTTCGGTTGGTGTAGAATTTGTATATTTTGAATAATTAATGTAATGTCAGGGTTAGGTTTTAAATTGAAAAAATATCGATTAAGATAAGAAAAAGATCATTATATAGTAGTATGATATATCGGTAATCAAATAACTCCCAGACACGTGTGGTCAAGTATCGTATTTACGTTCCAGTATTTTGTAATGTCTTCGGTATTTCTGAATTTTGGCCATCAAACATTTATATTACTTTTGAGGAAATGCATGGTGTCCATGTTAGCTGGAGGATAATACATCACAAATTGTGAATGCAACTTTAGACACGTGTTTAAGTATAATATATTATCCCATTTACTGTATAGATGAGACTGATTAAGTTGTTTTAAAGTACGTTCCCATAAGTTAGTGAGTTTGCAAAATAAATGCCATTACTATATAACACAGTGACATCCATACACTAAATGGAGTTGCACAGAATGACTATTTCCTCTATAGTGCTCCTTTCATGTATTTTACAGTAAATACAATTATGTAAAAGCTTTATTAACATAATAACCAAAAAAGAAATGTCACATTATTTTACGGTGTTAATAAAGAATTCTATTATATTCTATAATTACCACAAAGTAGTAACTGACACGCAAGTCACGTACAACAAGAACATATTTACGATATTATCCACAGACACAAACACGTTGATTCATGTGTAATTACAAACATAATATGCACGGGCCACTAATTACGCCAATTATTCATCCATTTTGCAAGAAAAACTAATCAATCTTAGTTTGATGATCATCTCTTAATTACCCCCGGAGTCAGATAACATCTTATCGGATGGCTAATCGACCATCTTACACCGACAACACACACAGCTTTCAGCAGAATCCATTAGGCAGATCACCTTGTCCTTGATGCTACAAGAATGAAGGTGAATACCTGATTGTCTGTCTGCCAGAAACCAAGCTTCTTCTGGAGAATCGAAGTGTTTTTCACCTCCATGCGTGTACGTTAATGGTATATTCCACCTACAAGTAAAGCTGAGGATAATGCACGGACATTATTAGTATATATCAGAGACAATATAGAGAAGTGTTTTTATCAATAATTCTTTCTGGCATACACGCTTGTTTATGATTTATTGTTTTGATCGCACATATATTACTACCATATTAAATAAATGCGCATGCGCGTGGAATCACTGGTATTAACGATTTCAGTTCAATTACAATCAATATGAAGAGAGAACAAAGATACAATACTCAAAGTCTGCCATTCCAATATTATCAACGGGTTAAATCTAGTATAGTATTGACAATACGTAAATATGACGTCAATTACTCCGTGTCTCCAAGACAACAAATTGGAAATTTGTGATTTGGGAAATCGAGGCAATCATTTTCTGAATCGAGCATACAGCAAAGTTTAGAGAGCAAAGACATTTAATTTGCTTTTGTAGATTTGTTTTCTGTACCTTCGAGGGATATAACTGTCGCCATATTTTAATGTTTACAGGAACCACGTTTATTCGACGCTTAAGAGTTTTTGTAATTAGCTCAAGGCAGTTCGAGACGGATTCCAATTTTGCATCGCTGAGCATGTTATATGCATTATGGGGGGAACTTTTTATAAAAAATATACGACAGTTCCAGACATTGAATGTCTCTCTGTTGTCTCACGTCACCTTTTAAACTGCAAATGTGTGTGTTGGAATATATTGCATTTTACCACAGAAACCATATTCCATGTTTGGGACTAGGTAACAAGGATATGTGGCCATCTTCCTATCATAATAACATTATTGCAATTTAATGAGCTAACCTGGCGCCATTCAGACCCAGTCGAATACGAGCACCTGTGGACCTTAAACTAAGGTTCACCTTAAAGTCGCATCCGTTAGTCCGATCGGCCACTGGATTTAGTCTGCGACACACTCGCCCAATGTCAGGGTCGACTTTTCCTAATATACAACATAAACTTATTACCGCACTGAAAACGAACTAAATCAAATTTCAATTTTCAAAAAGTTATAACAATATTTGGATTTATATTAATAATGACATATGACTTTTCCATCTCAAGTGATCGATCGAAATTTCGAGATATACCGTAAAAACATAATTTCACCGCAGTGCCAAAAAAAGCACTTTCCATGATATTTTGGACTCGTGTTTCGAGAAAAAATTATCACGTGATCTATTCATTTTTATTTTTGATAACTTAATGAAATTGCAACCATAATAGCACTTTTCAATTTGACCTTTTTATATTACCTTAATTGCAACCAGTATACAAACAATTACATGTACAAGATTAGTCCTGATTGACCATCCAACCCTAACACCCAACAGTCCGTCCAATCAGAGAGTAGTTTGTTTTTTGACATGTTTGTTTCGACGAATCAAATTCAGCCTTGTATATGCTACGGATCAACTGTGGTATTGTAGCCACCAGTATCCCGGTCGTGTTTTTTTGTATTACCGGCTATTTAGTTTATATTACGTCTAAAAATATTCAATATTTGCATGATATTCGGCCATTATATTTTCACATGTAACACATTGAATTTAAATATGTATTCACTGACTAATGAGTTGACAAGCTATGTGATTATCACGTGACTTACTTTGGATGATCACTGGGCTGTTCTTCATTAGAATCGAGAATGAATCTCGTTTGTTCCAATTTGATTGTGTGTGTGCCAGTTCTAGTAGCTGTTAGTAACGGGAAGCCTGGTTGTAGAACCCAACTGTCCATCATTGCCTTAACGTCTGTTCCTTTTCTGTCCGCATCTGCCTTTTAAACAATTAAAAAATGCGAGAAAGGAATTGAATTCATCTTTGTTGTTAGTTGTTTATCTAAGCAACTATTGTCTTGAATGTATGAATTAGGTAAGTTAAGTTTTCTCGGTCACTGCATAATTTAATGTCACACATTGGACAGATATGAATTGTAGAAGCTGAAGTATGTCCATCCGATTCAGTTTTTAGCTGTCACGACTGTCGTAACCGTTTTCATGGTTCGCCGAAGACGCGACAAAATATCACGACTGTCGTGTTTATTAACAGTCTCAGTAAACGTTTCCGTCGCACACTGTTTCAATTGAACTTCCATTACTTGCCCGGCAGTGAAAACTCGCAATGACAAACACCTGAGAAGGGTCGCCGCATACTACATAGAGTTTGTTTGAGGATCATGGTTATCTACAGTGGCCCATATATACAATCGGTCCGCTAGTTGAAAATTGGTCCACTACTTTAAACAAATCAGCCCGCTACCTCTGTGATTTTTTTAAGTAGCGGACCAATTGTTTCAAGTAGTGGACTGACTTCCATATAGCGGACTATTCTGTTTCGAGTAACGAACTGATTTTCAAATAACGGATTGATTTTCAAGTAACGGATCGTCATAGTTGTTATTATTAATTTAGTATAAACACCGATGACAAGTGATATTAACAAGCAGAAACGAACACTGGTCTCTTCGTGACGTTATTGCATCTGAAAAAGTATAAAAAAATACACTGTATCGTTGACATATTTTATCAACATCTATTTAAGTTCTACGGAGTTTTTGTATTTTAGGTAAAAGTATTTGTAATCGTTTTGTATTTATTATTTTCTACGGTGAGACGAGAATTGAATATGTCAATGCTAGACACGACCTTTGTGAATTATATTTCAATCTTGGTCTTAGTGATTTAATGCAGAGTGGAACTACGAATTGAGTGCCGCAGTGCATGCTGGGGCCAGTCTGCCATACTGTATGTCTTTCACATACTTCTTTTGAATTCTGAATTTGGTGACGTCATATCTGTGGCATCTGATGGTTGGAGTGTGGAGATGAATGAATAACGTAAACGGGAATAAATGTGATCCTCATAGTACGAAACAGTAGATGTAGGCCAAGTGCAGTTGCGTCGATCTAGAGTAAACATCGAAATACAAATGACATCGCAGAGACACTGCGGTTAAACCCTGAAATTTAGTTTTTTGGAAATACTAACATGCATATGTGGAGGTTGAAATGCTGGCATACCACGTGACCATCCGTGTACATGACATATGATATACGAAAGTGCGATACGTGGAGGTTACATTTCGCAAATACGTCAGGAACTCACCTTCGCAAGAGAATACCAGAGATCATCGGTAACGACGTCACCAAACAGGTTGGTCATTAAATAATTTTCATTAATTCCACTGCGAATGACGTCATCACTTAGAAACGACTTGAATGTCCTAATAATAGCAGCTCCCTGTAGAGAGACGAAATGATGGTTGGAAAGTAGTTAATACCACAGGACAGTGAGGAGTTGTTTCGGGCTCTGCCCTCACATTGTATTATAGTATGTGACACCTTACGTACATGGTTTTTGGGCCACCATACGTACACTGTATTAAGAAACACCAGAAGTACATTGTATTATGAAACACCATACGTACATTGTATTATGAAACACCATACGTACACTGTATTATGAAACACCATATGTACACTGTATTATGAAACACCATACGTACACTGTATTATCAAACACCATACCTACATTGTATTATGAGACACCGTACATACATTGTATTATGAAACACCATATGTACACTGTATTATGAAACACCATACGTACACTGTATTATCAAACACCATACGTACATTGTATTATGGGACACCGTACGTACACTGTATTATGAAACACCATATGTACACTGTATTATGAAACACCATACGTACACTGTATTATCAAACACCATATGTACATTGTATTATGAAACACCATACGTACACTGTATTATGAAACACCATATGCATATTGTATTATGAAACACCATACGTACATT